ATATATAAAGGGCTGCGCTCCCAGAGTGTCTCAGTAAGTCAAAACATAGAATTTGACACATTCCAATTAGTCTAGAGTCACTTTAATGTCCTACCTGGTTAATGCCTGCCTGCTCTTTCTTTAAAGATTCTAAAAGTTGTTTATAGGTGTTCATCCTAGTTTTAGGGTTTCTAGAACCTCTTTCTTTCCATATGTAATTTTACCTGAAAACTACAGTATTTTCCTTGATGAAAGGTGGCCACCCTCATTATCAGCCATGCTTATGACTTAGCTCCCAGGTGAGATTTTTAAAAAAGAGCAGATTTTTCCAGATAATTAGGGGTGCAGAACATTGCTTGAAGGACATGTGCATATCTGTATATATTACTGAATATGAAATTAGTGGCGCCAGAGAAAGTCATGGATAGAACTCCTTCCTGATATAAAACATAAAGTGTTATTAGGAAGATGTGCTCAGTGCTGTCTCAACCTCGGGCTGACCTTCATCTGGGCAGGGGACCACTTGCGGCTCCCAGCACTGCCCAGCCTCAGCTATAGGATGTCTCTGAGCATGGTGTGCGGGATGCAGGACTGACCTGTATGTCTGTATATGTGAATAGAGATCCAACTATGCAAAGTGATCCATCTTTGGGGTTTTTCCATTCTGTGAAAAATAAGGCCTGGCTCAGGGGTTGAGCATCCACCCATGAACCTAGAGGTCACAGTTTGATTTCCGGTCAAGGCACATGCCTGGGTTTCGGGTTCAATCCCCATTGGGGGTTGGGGGAAGGTGTGTGGGAGACAGCCCATGAATGATTCTCATCATTGATGTTCCTATCTCTCTCCCCCATTCCTTTTCTCTCTCTGAAATCAATGAAAATATATTTTAAAAAGTAAGCCACAGAATTCATTATCTTTCACACCAATAATAATAAAGATAAAATATCAGTAATAAAAGCACCAGTAAAAATAATGGTGCAACATTACTGTATCCGATGCCTCTGATCCGAGCTTTACTTATGTTCTCTGCCCTGTCCATGCGGTAGGCTAAGAATGTGATCCAGTGACTCCTCCACCCCTAAGTCCAAAAACTCAGAACCTATTTTATCAGTGTAAATAATACCAATACTCAAGGATCTGTACAAAAAGTTGGAAACTAAATAAATCAAAAACTTACAGGGAAAATGCAAATGTCCTCACGTTTTCAAATTGATTATAATTAGTTTTTCTCATAAAAATTTAGAGAATGTTCTAACTAGCTGGTAGTAAGCACAGTAATGGATTCTCCAAAGGGAAAAAAAAATGCACCTGTCTACAACATGGAGAGAAATCAAAGCTTAAAGTAAATGGGATATGATGTGAAGATTCCAAAATATCCATTTAAAATGAAACTTTAGTACAGAAGTGCTGAGTACCCATCGCTGGGCACTCTGACGCTCTGCTGGACACCATGAAGAATCTGTCTGTGAGCCAATGAGGAAGTAGAGATATGGTACAAGCAGCATCCTGCCTGGCAGATAGTTGCTAGTGCATAATGCTGAAAGAAGGAACACGTGGTTACCGATAAGTTAAATACATGTATGATATACAGAATTTACACATTTGTGCAGTGTATTGCATATAGACACAAACCCACCCAAGGCCTTCTGGCTCCTAAGAGGGTCACAAAAGATCCATGTGTACAAATCATTTCTGCCTCATCTCCAGTAGCATACCTTTCAGTCCCTTCTCCACATACACATCAAGGAAAAGAGCTCTGAAGATTTGCAGAGAAGCAGCCGAGGGTTCTGAGAAAGGCAGGGGCAGCTTAAACCAGGGTCAGAATGCCAAGCAGGGCCCTTGGTACATCTTAGCTTCGAACTGGTTTCCTTCTGCATGAACTTCCTTTTTCATTTCATATAATGTGATTCTGCACACAATGAGTTTCCTTAGCTTTATTTATCCTAAAATGTCTTTATTCCACCTTCATTTTGATAAATGTTTTCACCGGTTATTCTTACTTGGTGGTCTTTAAAGATGTATGTTTTCTAGTTTTATTTGATTAAATCAGTTATTACTCATATTCTTGTTCCCTTTTATGTAATGTTTTTTGTTTCTGTTTTTGCTTTGGCTGCTTTTAAGTCTTTTAATGTTTGTTTGTTTGTTTTTTAGTAATTTCACTATTTTCTGCCATAATGGGTTATTTTATATTTTTTATTTGTGGTGTGTTTTGTTTTTGTGTTGTTGTTTTTTTGTATTTATCTTTTGGAGCTAAACTTTCTGGATTTTTGAGTGGAGGTTTTATTCAAATTTGGAAACCTTCACATATTTTTTCTCACCTATGTTCTCATTTCCTCTTGGAACTCCAACCACACATACATTAAATTATTGAATGTCCTCCCACAGGTTTTACCTCTTGATTTCCTTTGTGTAATTATCTGCACCTCACCTATTCACTTAGAGCCTTCATTTTTAAATTAAGTCATTAGATTATTATAATGGTGGAGTTTCATTTCTTCACTTTAATAGATTTCCCTATGCCATGGTCCGCAAACTACGGCTCGCGAGCCACATGCAGCTCTTTGGCCCCTTGACTATGGCTCTTCCACAAAATACCACAGTCTGGGCGAATCTATTTGGAAGAAGTGGCATTACAAGAAGTTTAAGTTTAAAAAAATTTGGCTCTCAAAAGAAATTTCAATCATTGTACTGTTGATATTTGGCTCTGTTGACTAATGAGTTTGCCAACCACTGCCCTATGCTGTTGATAGCATTTTATTATTATTACTAATATTTGCCAATGTCTTGCTGAGAATGTGCTCTGGATTAAATTATTTTAATTGCATTAAGGAATGCACATTGTTTTTATTGAGTAGAATTCTCAACCAAGGGAGCGTGATGGCACTAGGCTGAAGGGAGTGCTTTCAAGCCTGTTCACTCCCTAGACTCCTGTTTCCATGTTTGCAGGGACCCTGGCCTCAGTCCTCAGACCCTTCTCTTCCCAGACTTGCCCACTTTCCATATGATCTCATTCAGTCTCATGGCTTATTCAGGGATGGGGAACGACCAGCCCTCGTGCCATATAAAGTTTACAAAACAATCATTTGGTCTGGCCCTGCAAAGGCATTTAAGAGTGAGTTAGTTAAATGTTTGACCAAACATAGCAGGCTAATTTTTAAGCTGATAATTTTGCACAGTCCAAAAATGATGTGATACATATCCTCATGGCCTTTGGCAGAAAAGAGGTTTCCCACCCCGGCTTAAAATAATGGCCACAATGTCCTCACCAGTTTAGCTCAGTGTCAGCCTGCGGACTCAAGGGTCCCAGGTTCGATTCAGATCAAGGGCATGTACCTTGGTTTTGGGTTTATCTCCAGTGGGGAGTGTGCAGGAGGCAGCTGATCGATGTTTCTCTCTTATCGATGTTTCTAATTCTCTATCCCTTTCCCTTCCTCTCTGTAAAAATTCAATAAAATATATTTTTTAAAAAAAATAATGGCCACAAGCTGATTCCATCTCCAACCCAGACCTCTCCCTAACTCCAGACCTATGTAATCTCACTGCCAATTTGACACCAGTACTTAGATACCTCTCGGGCCTCTCAAACTTGACAGTTACTTGTAAAACTCATGCTCCTCCTGTCTCCTGCATTTTGATTTGCAGAATTTCCATTTTCTTTATTGTTCAGCCCAAGCATCTTGATGCCTCTGTAACTACGCTTTTTCTCTAGTCCATTAGCAAAGTCTAGTAGCTTTTGAGTTTCAAATGCATCTAGACCCTGACCACTTCTCACCATGGTCTCTGCTACCCCACTGACCCACCCTTGGATTATAGCCTCCTTCCCTACTCCCGTCCCTAGACCACTGCAGTCAGTGCCCAACACAGCAGCCAGAGGATCCTGTCAGATGTAAACCACATCAGGTCATTTCCCTATCTCAGGGTAAAAGTCAAAGTCCAGTGTGATCTAAAAGGCCCTACATGAGCTGACTCACTTTGCTATTTCTCCTCATCTCCTCTTGTTTCCACTCATTCTTTCTCCTCTTTCCCACCTGGCTGTTGTTAAACATGCCAAGCAGCCACCCCACCCCTACCCCCACCTCTTTTGCTTTTCCCACTGCCAGGTGTATCCACACAGCACCTTCATTTCCTTCTGACCTTTCATTTAAAATTACCTTCTAGTGAATGCCACCACCCTCCCCCCGCATACACTGTCTCTAAAATGTCAACATCCTCCCGTGCCCTCCCATACCTGCATTGTGCCCATTCCCTTCTCTTATTCTCTAGAGTGCATTACTGTACATTTGTACATTTTATCTAATTTCCTCAGCTGTTGTCTTTCTCCCCACAATTGAGTGAAAGTTAATGAGATCAGGGATATCTATCATATTAATTATTGTATCCCTGGTGTTTCTATTAGTGTCTGGTACCTACTGGGTGTTTTTAGATATTTTTTGAGTAAATAAATGAGGGATAGAGCTAGGCTACAAGTTTACCTGTTGCCAGTAGATGCCACTCTCTAAACATATTCCCACATGTGACTGTTTTGGTTCCAGCTTCATCTGCAGAATGGAAGTTAAACGTGTGCAGTAATTACTGTGTAATTTGAAAGTTTTCTGGTTGAAATCACATTTGTAAACAGTCTGTAGGCATGGCAGATTACACAGCTGTGGCAGGACCCTCATTCAGATCAGTGCTGTTGTGATCCCTGCATGTAATGTGCACATCTCCTGAAAGCTGCATGTGGCTATCAAAATATTTAAACAGTGGGGGAGAGCCGCTATCCTTCTAGGAATGAAGACCTGCTGGAAATGAACAAATGTAGCGTTAATCTGATCATCTGTAATCCAAAGTCTCAGCTGTGTTCAGCTAACCATCCCTGTGCCTGTATTACCCATACATCCTGTTTCCCTTTTGCTTCTTTAAAAAGGAGATGTCAAGGAAGGAAAGAGGAAATTTTATATTCTGAGGATGCATGTTAGTAATTTATATCAGTATGATAATCTTTATTTTAACAATTTCTTTTTAAATTTTATTTTATGCAGGGCAACATAACTATTTATGTGCCGGAAGAAATGATTGCATCATTGATAAGATTCGACGGAAGAATTGTCCTGCCTGCAGACTTCAGAAATGTCTTCAAGCCGGAATGAATTTGGGAGGTAAGTTTTGTGTTTGCAGTTCAGTAAAAATTGTTAGTTTGTAATATAATACCCCTAGACTCTATGTACTCCCAAAATTTAAGATGATCTGACATAGAGCAAAGATTTCCAAAACTCTAACAAGTTCTATGTTCATGCGAAACATTTTTGGAGAAAAGCATGTCTTAACAGGAGTTAAAAAGAAGTATGTGATGTGGCCTTGGTTCTAGTGATATTTTCAAACCTGAGTTTGCCAAGGTTTCAAGAACAGGGCGCATAACCAAAACAAAAATGAATGACACTTTACATAGCATTGTAGCTAACAGTTTTTGTTACCACATCTGCTTTAAATAACAGATACATGTGATAACATTAGCCAGATAGGAATACATTCCTAAATCCTGGAGGAAATGTAATAAAGGAAGACTTATATGAGCAAAACTTTAAAATGTTATAGGAGCTCACCAAACAAAGGTGGGGAGGAGGGCAAAGATTTGAACCAAACATAAAAGTACACACGTTCATGGATGTTATTCTGCATATAATGGTATCAGTTTTCCCTAAATTAATTTATAAATATAACACAATCCTAGCAGAAATATTAATTGATGATTCTAAGTTTCTAAAGGACAGCCAGAAAAATTCTGGAAAATAAAAATAATGAGGGCAACTAGCTCTCACAAATTGTTAAACATTTGATACTGCTACAGTAATTAAAATAGGCTGTGTATTTGTTTACTGATTGTCAAATCAACAGAAAGTCAAGAAATAGATCCAAATTATATGAGAATTTTGTATATAATAAAGTAGCATTTCAGATCAGTGGGGAAAGGGTAGACTATTCAACAGAAGTCATCGTGACAACTGGGAAGCCATCTGGAAAACAAAGTTGAATCTAAACTCTTACTATTCACCAAAATAAATTCTGGGTATTTCAAAGATTTGAACTTTGAAATATAACTATAGAATTACTAAAAGAAAATGTTATTTTAAAAATATTTATTCTCTAAGTAGAGAAGACCTTTCTAAGCATCTAATAAACACATAAGATATAAAGAAAAGAATCGAAGAAATCACCAGTAATGGCAAGTCAAATATTATTGCAAATAGCGGCTGGTCCAGAGAGGCTTAGGCCAGTTAAGAGGCAGAATGCCTGCTTGGGAACCCTTGTTCTACCACTTTCTAACCATGTAACCTCAGGCAAGTTACCAGGTTTCTGTGTTTCCTCATCTACTGCTTGCATCAATCACATCGGCGGTCTGAGGGGGATGGTGATGCCCATTGCAATTTCCATAGCACCTTCACACAGTATGCGGAAGACAGTATTGCCCGTGCTGTGGTGATGGTAAACCTCATGTGTTTAGGGAAGTTAAGTGACTTGCCCAAACATGCCCAGCCAGTAAGGTGCTGAAGCTGGATGGTGGACCGGTGGGCGCCTGGTCTGGTGTTTCTGGTATACCACACAGCTCTCTTCTTATAATACCCAAATCACCGCAGGTGTGGCACAAAAGATCGCCTTCTGGGGCAGGTGAGTGGGGACCAGAAGAGGTTAATACTTTATGATCTGAATGGCACAATTGTACAGCCACCGGTTGCAAAAGAAACTCTAAATCAAGTTTGTCAGGTCTAACATCTGTATTTAAACACACTCATATATACTAGGAAGGTATTTTTAAAATATCTGCATATAATTTTATATAACTCTACAAATATTATGTAACCTATTGACGTGAAAGGTATACATTACCATTAATTATTCTCTATAAAATGAAGCTACTATTGGTGACTATAAGAAAATACTTATAATTCCTGTCTCATACGGTTGTCTTAAGGATGAACTAAGTCAATACATAACCTTGAGAACAGGGTTTCTCAGCCTCTACGCTGCTGACGTTTTTGGCCGGGAAGTGTTTGTTGTGGGGAGCTGTCCTGTGCAGTGTCTCTACATATTAGATGCCAGTGGTAACAATAAAAAATGTCTCCAAACCTGACTGAATGTCCCCTTGGTGGCATTGAGACCCACTGGTTTAACAATCCTTGTAAACAAGAGACTCAGTGCATGAAATTCATGCTCAGGTGCGGACCCTAGGCTTGGCTGGCAATCGAAGCACAAGTGTATGGCGTGGAAGGGCAGGTCCTACCTGACCTCTGGACCCTGGGAAGCACCTAGGTCCCTGGGCCCTAGCATGCCCCCCTCTGACCGAGTCATGGCACCCTAGTCCCCACGTGGAGATGTGGTGAGCACGGCCGGACAGGGGCCAGGGCGCAGCCTGGGCCTCTGGGCCACCCAGCAGCACTGCACAGAAGCCAGGCGGGCAGTGGGCTCTCTCTTGGCCAGCCTCGCTGGCTGCTATAGCCTGGCTCACCCAGAAGAGGCCACGTGAGTCCTGTCATCCCAGGGGAGGGTAGTAGGGGGAGTGAGAGCAAGCTCCAAGAACACCTGAATTATCATCACACCTCCGTTCTCATCATCCCCACCCCCAGATAGCCAGTGAAAGGTCGCAGTTCCTCACCCAGATGCACAGGGAGGTTGGTTGCTGCCACCCACACCCAGTTCCCCATCCTAGCCCAGGGCCCAGCCCTGATCCGTGTGATCAGGACCTGCCAACCACTGGTCACTCTCTGCAGGCGATATACAGTCAGGCCACCACGCATACTTGCCTTGGCCTGGCACTACCTGCTCACCTGCTCCATTATCCTGCCGGGGTCACACTCTCATCAGGCACTGCATAGGGGTCAGCAGTGCCTTCATTGCTGTCGTTTTGCTGAAGCCCGCCATGTTCTAGGTCGCCCCCTGGTGGTCAGCACACATCATAGCGAGCAGTTGAACTGGTGGAACTCCCCAGTGAGGGGACTATTTGCATATTAGGCTTTTATTAGATACGATATGTATAAGCAGCATTCATTGTTGGATAACCTTTTTCTCTAGAATATACATTCCACCAGGGGAGGGCTTTTTATCGGTTTTGTTCATTGCTTTATCTCCAGTGCCTGAGCGAGTGCCTGGCATACAGTGGCTGTTCAGTAGCTAACTGTTTCGTAAACGAATAAGTAGCTGATATTTTTGACGGCTGCCATGTTCTGAGTGCACTGCTAAGCCCTTTGTGTGTGTCATGCCTCTTAAGCTTCCCAGCAACACTGCGCCATACATCCTATTCATCTGTCCGTGTTAGAGGGGCTCATGGAGGCCCGAGAGGTTCGAGAGCTGCCCAAGGCCACAAACCAAGGAGAGGCAGAGCCAGAACCCAAATCTCCGCTCCCACGCCAAAGCGCACACCCCCGTCACTGCTGCACACCACAGGCCACTCTCTGCAGATGAGCCTTTCACACGTACACAGCCCAGGTTATCTACGAACTGGTGTCCACACTGATTGTAAGAGAGGTCTGATCGGATGTGATACAGTATCCACATGGCCTGTTGTTGGTTTCTGTACATGTGGGTTATGTTTGGTGGGTTTTAGTAAATCATTTTCATAGAGAGAAAGCTCCCTTTGAGTACTTGAGGTCATTTAAATTAGTGAGTCAAAACGGACAGAGTGGAAATTAATATTTATGAAAGTAGTATTTTCTTTACGGTCAAGTTATAATTTAACCACTTCTGTTTCACGGATTAAATAATTAACTTGTACTAATTATCCAGTTGCAATAACATACGTTGTAACTTTCTTTTTTCCTTTATCCCTTATTCTGAAGTCTCTCTTTTAGTTTCCAGTTAGGCCAAAGGAAATGTTAGCCATTGTATTACATTTTTTTTTAATGCAATGGTTAAACTTTTAATGCAAAGTGATTTTTAAAATTAAAAAAATAAGTGAATTAAATTAAAACCTCTTCAGACATGTTACACGATCACCCCAGCTTTCCCAGCAAAGCAGAGCTGGCTAGTCCCTTCTCATCCAGCCTTCTTCTCTGCCACCGGGGGGGGGCGGGGGGGGGGGGGCAGGGGAAGGCAGATGACCACCCACATACTGGGGCTCCCAGAGCAGGATTAGCCACACCCTTCTGAAGACTTCAGGGTACCCAACACTTTAAAATGCTATTTGCCCTTTGCTGCCAGCTGGTTAGAGTGTAACCCTGCCCGTGTTCCCAAAGCAGGCTCTCCTTTAGGAAGTGGAGGCTGAGCGAAGGGCGAGCCATTTGTATTCCTCAGAGAATAAAGCCATAAACGGGCCTCTTCCCTTTTGTCTAGATGCACTCCCTCCCTTCCACCACAAGTACTCTTCTTTTTCTTCAAAAATCCTGCTGAGCTTTAGGCCACATAGAAAGGAAAATATAGCAGGAGATGTGAGCATGTCAACAGAGAAATGGAAAGGAAAATAACAGCTTTTCTGGCCCCAAGCTGGGCCTGCCATTCTTAACCACAGCCCCTATTAGGAGATCTAAAAAAAAGTCCTGGTTCTCTATGCAGGAGCATTTACCCCCTTCTCCAAAGGAAGGAGCCGCTTTATTGTTACATGCCAGTGTCCTGAAGAGCATGATCTAGTCGTGTCTTTCAAAGATTCTCCTAAAAAATATAAAGCACAGCCTGAAAGCTAAGTGGCCCTCGGATCAAAAATGAGTCCTTTAGTGTGTTTCCGGCTTGTCTGCACTTTGCCCATAGGATGTAGAGGGATCTTAAAGGTGTTTTTTCTACTCCAAGCCTCCCATTTTACAGATAAGAAACTTGGAATTCAAGATCCTATCACTAGAGACCTGAAAAATGCATTGTAGTCATGGTGACAGGATAATTGCTGGACTTACTGCACTTTTAAGTATATAAAGGTGGAATCACTATATCGTACACCTGAAACTAATGTAATATTGTATACTAACTATACTTAATTTTTTTTTAAATTTATAAAGAACTTTAATTCAGTCACCTTTCCATTTTTTTCAAAGCACCTCCCCATGTCTCATTTTTCACTATTCTACGAAATCCATTTTTACATTTCTTTAATGAAGATTCTAAAATTTTAAAATCTTGCTTCCTGTAGCTTTAAAAAATGTAGACTTCAAAACCACATGATAATCCTAATTCTGGTTCC